AATTTTTTTTTTTTACTAAATTTACAAATTGGCGACGAGGATGACTGCATGAAGAGTTCTGAGGAAAGATGCATGTTGTTTTATCCTTTCACGATGAGCAGGAGCAACAGTAAACACACACACACACACTTACCGTTATCATCACAGGAATCAGACTGAAAGGAGCTCAGCGACTGGACCTCGGAGTTGCTGCCCTTGTTACTGCCAGAGAAACATGTGACCTCTTCCAGCAAATCCACTTTCCCTGAACACAAAGATCAGGACGTCAACCAATCACAGCTTAACTTACAGTAAACACACACACACACACACACACATGTGTTTTGTGCATCACAGCTGTGGGCGAATCTACACGCAATTCTGTATCCAAGAAGTGCTCTCTCTGATGTTTGCCTGTAATTCCTTTCTTTTCCCGGACATTTTTCCTTTGATCTTTCCTTTAATGGTGTCATGGAAACGGCTGCTTATAACAGCTGCGTATAATTGTTTCGATTCGTATTTCACAGGTGGAGATTTTTAAGACCTAAGACGGTTTGAACGGAGGACACCGCAAACAACAAGAAAATGAAAAATGAAGTAATTATGGGCGGTAAAAAGCCTCGGAGAACTCAGATGGGGGACAATTTAATACCAGAGGGAAAATGGCTTTTGACATCAGCTTCTCCAGTAAATGGACCCCATATACATACTTCCATAACTGCTCTCCTCTCAGTATTTATTGATGTGAAAATTTATACACAGTCAAGGGAAATGTTTTTTTTTTTTTTTTTTAAATAGGATTTTTCCCTTTGTTTTGTCTCTCAAAAGCAAAAGCTTTTCCGAAATACATCTGCTGTAAGTCACCCTGGATGAGATAATATGGGAAAAAACCCCAAAAAAAACCAAAACAAAAACAAAAAACAAACAAAAAGCAACAGAGAATACAAACAAATAAAATAATAATAATTCTTTTTTTTTTTAAAGAAAATACAAAAAAACAAAACAAAACATAGAAAATAAAACAAACAAGTAAAACTATGGAAAGCTGTTTCTGCCATGCTGCCATGTGAAATTATAATTGTGACATTTTATCTTAAAATTCTTTTTTTTTTTTTATTTCGGAATTCAAAATTCTCAGAATTGAAGATGCAAACTCAGAATTCTGACTCCCCCCCCAGAGTTTACATTTCACAATTCTAAGTTTCTATCTCATAATTCTGAGTATCTCACAATTCTGAGTTTATATCTCTCATAATTCTGAGTTTATATCTCATAATTCTGTTCATATATCTCATAATTCTGAGTATCTCACAATTCTGAGTTTATATCGTTCATAATTCTGAGTTTATATCTCATAATTCTGTTTATATATCTCATAATTCTGAGTTTATATCTCATAATTCTGAGTTTATATCTCTTATAATTCTGAGTTTACATCTCTCATAATTCTTAGTTTATATCTCTTATAACTCTGAGTTTACATCTCATATAATTCTGAGTTTATATCTCATAATTCCGAGTATCTCACAATTCTGAGTTTATATCGTTAATAATTCCATGTTTATATCTCATATTTCTGAGTTTACATCTCTCATAATTCTTAGTTTATATCTCTTATAATTCTGAGTTTATATCTCTTATAATTCTGAGTTTACATCTCTCATAATTCTTAGTTTATATCTCTTATAATTCTGAGTTTATATCTCTTATAATTCTGAGTTTATATCTCATAATTCTGTTTATATATCTCATAATTCTTAGTTTATATCTCTCATAATTCTGAGTTTACATCTCTCATAATTCTTAGTTTATATCTCTCATAATTCTTAGATTATATCTCTCATAATTCTGAGATTGTATCTCACAATACTGAGTTTATATCTCTCATAATTCTGAGTTTATATCATAATTATGAGTTTGTATCTCACAGTTCTGAGTGTTTTTCTCTGAACTGTAGAAAAAAAGAAACCAGAATTCCATATGAAGCAAAATGCAAAAAAAAATAAAAAAAAATAAATCATACAGAAACACACACACACACAAACCAAAAAAAAAGAAGAAAAAGAAAAAAAAAGAAATCAGTTTAGACAGGTCTTTTTCCACATTCACAGTGCTGATTTTGGGGGGAGGGATTTTGTGGAGTGGATTTTAAAATGCTGAAATTTATTATTCAGATCTGAGGATACTACTCTTATTGGTAGCAGAAAGCATAATACAATTCTAAAATATGAACTAAATGGATAAAAAAGGGATGTGTAGAACTTTAATCACAGGTATTTCAATTCTGCTTGAGTTCTGCTGTTTCTGTGGGGGCCTGTTTATAGAATTACAGGTTTATTTCCATGTAATTTTCAAATGAAGTGACTTTCGATTAGGGTTACAAAAAGCAACATTAAAACGCAGCAAAATCTGAACAGCTTTTATTGCATAAAACAGTTTCCACCTGCAGCTCGGTTTTCAATTTCGGCTGTAACCCTCATATGAAACCGTATTTTGATTTGATTTACAGAAAACACCATTAACAAAGATGAACTTAGCTAGTGGGAAGCTGCAGTGGAAACAGCTTCAACAAATATAAGCTTTTCCCCCAGATCCTGTGCGCTTCTGCCTAAACTGTCACAGCAGGAAACGGAGCTGAGTTTAAGAAGATAAAAGTGCAGCGCTCTGCCACTGCATACACTGATAACGTGAAATCTGGCAGCAGGTTGTGTTATCTGTGCTGAAAACAGTCATAGGTCGCTTTACCACTGATACATCGCCATACGGTTTGAATGCTGTGCCATTGCTAGTGTTGGCTTAGGGTTCATTAAGAGTCTGAATATTAAAATGCGCATGCCAAAAAGCCTCAGGGGGTTACTGAGATACGAGCATGTGTGTGTGTGTGTGAAACGGCAGATCTCGGCCAATCTCTGAACTGCGTGAGGTTAAATGCAGTTAAATGCGACGTTTAAATAAAACATGTTAAGGGAAAGATGGATTTCACAGTTGGCGGGCATGAACTGATCAAAGCCGTCTGATAAATTCACACTGGCAAACACATAATCATGCATAAACGTATGCGTGCAAACACAACAGAGTATGCGAGCGATGCGGAGAGGAGTTGCATGATTTTGCCTGGAGCGAGAAACGTTTGATTTTTTTAATGAGAGGCTCCCATAACGCTCCATCACAACCACAATACACTTTAACAACTGTAACTGTTGTCAGCAATAATTCACATGCAATTTGAAATAAACTATTAATAGTGTAAATAGAAAAAAAAAGATGGAATTTGTGAAAAAATTAATGGGAAATACTATGTCTAGTAAAAATTGATGGATGAATGAGCAACTTGAAATAATAATAATAATAATAATAATATAACAGATTCTTTGAATATTCTTAATTTGGGGTTCTTTTTTTTAAAATGGATATATGCAAAATGCATGCAAAATTATTATTTGCACAAGCATATACATGCAACATTACTATCATTTTTCAGCTACTAATATTAAAATAATTTAATATAAGAAAATACAATTATATTTAGAAAATATTTTTTAATGGAAAAAGTTTGGCAATAAATTACTGGAAAATAAAATGTATTAAATATACTCAATATAAATGAGCAATTTATAATAATAATAATAATCATTCATTTGGGGTTCTTTTAGAAAAAAAAAGTATATATATTTGTTTATACATGCAATATTACTATTGTATCTATCATTTCTGCTATTTATATTACAATCATATATGACATTCATATTATATTGGTAAATATATTTTATTTTTAAAAAGAACAACAGAATTTGGGAAAAATTACTAGAAATAAAATAATCAATTATACCAAATGTTAAGTGAAAATTAATTATTTGATGTTGATTATTTAATGTGAGCTATATTGACATTATTATTTTTTTTAATTAAAAGTTGGAATATAGTTACTATTGTTCGTCTGCTATTTATATTACATTCATATAATATATTAAAATTATATTTATAAATGTGTGGAGCAGTAACTGGGTGGAAATTCTGCTATGGATTTAAATTGGAGTGAGATTTCCTTAAAGGGATAGTTCACCCAAATTAGCCGTCGTACCTACAATGACTGTGCACTGTGTAACCAATGAGTGACGTATACGTGCGAGAGATCACTTCCGGCGCTTGCGTAAACTACGCCAGAGCGCGTACACACCTCATGCACCGGATGCCGTGCACGCGCCCAAAGAGAGTTGGATATTGGTTAATTTGGATTTGTCTGTGCATGTTTTTTGTTACCATTGCCATGCATTATACGACTGACAGACTGCAACGGTTAAAGTTAAAAATCATCATATGTGTTCTACTGAAGAAACAAAGTCACCTACATCTTGGATGCCCTGGGGGTAAGCAGATAAACATCAAATTTTCATTTTTGGGTGAACTATCCCTTTAAGCTGTGCTCTAGCTACAAATGGAAATCCTGGAGTGGATTCGGATACTTTGAGTAGTAACGGTCACTGCAATCCGCTTACATACTCTGATACGCACACAAACACAACATAGATATTACAGATCTCTCTCTCACCCTCCTCTTCCCAGGGACTCTTCCGTAGGGAATCACAATCAGACCGGCACGGTGAAACGGGCGGCAAATTCGGCGCCACGCTGCACACGACCACGCCCCTCCGGTTGGTCCCGCCCAGAATCCGCGGCGACTCCGACGGATGGAACGTGCTCATTTCCGTCAGCTCCGGGCCTCGGCCATCCCCTGGCCATTTCTCCAGGGTTCCCCGAGCGTCTCCGGGAAAACACGGCGTGTACGCCATCGGCCGGATGGGAACCTGAGGCGGACCGGACAGACTTCCTTCCGTGTACAAGCTGATTGGCTCTCCGATGGCGCAGCGTAGCGGCGGATAGTGCCCACCGTTGGCTTTATGCAGCAGGGCGGCTGTAGCCGGATCCTGAACCATGGAAAGGTTATTCCGGGAATAACTCTTCTGGAAGACCTTCTTCCGAAAGGCGATGAATAGGAGGATGAGGGTGAGGATGAGGAAGAGCACGACGGCGATTCCGATAAGCTCCTCCTTCCCGACGTAGGCGTGGCCAGCCTGCATATCCGGAACAAGTACGGGACGAACGGAGCAAGCGCTGCCCACGAAACCCGGCGTGCAGTTACAATAGAACGAGCCGAAAGTGTTGACGCACACGCCGCCGTTCTCGCACAGCTCGCGTTCACACTCGTTCACGTCCTCTTCACAACTGCAGAGGAGAAATAAACACTCGCTGGTTACTGTGGCCCACTGGGTTTATACTGCATCAGTTTAGTGTCCTTGGCCTGCTTTAAAAATTTATTGTGACTCGGCAGAAATGCATCAGTCTATAAAAAAACTGACATTGTGTCTGAAAGCGGGCATGATGGGATACGTTTACAGCCTAAAGTAATCCGTCTGTCTACAGTGAAAGTGAAAACGCTGGGAGACACCACACAATAACAGCCAATCAGAATATTTTTTTTATGAGAAATTTGGAGCTGGGAGATTTCATGGAAACCAAGCAAACTGTCCCAGCTGGTTAGGACGAAGAAAAAAAAACGACTTTTGTTTTCAGCCATTTCTGGGAGCTAATCGCCACGTTTCAAAGAGCTATTAAAGACAATGTGAAATCGAATGTGACCTTGTTTACTTACATAATAAATATTGCTGGGCTTGTTCATAAAATTTTTATCAAAATGCAACTTTCACTGCTTTATAAGTTTAGAGGCAACCAAGGCCACACGGCCTTGAAATAGATTTTAAATATATATATATATATATTTTTTTTTTATATACATATAAATATTATATTCATAAAGTATTTAATATATGATTCAATTATATAATAAATTGTGTGCATGTGTGTATATATCATTAATATACTATAACAGTTTTTAGCATATTTTATTTTTACATTTTCTGTTTTCACTTCAAAGTTTGTGAAATTTTAGTAATTTTGTGTTGTTCTTGTCATTTTTATTAGTTTCAGTTATGTCTACATAGTTTTTATTCATTTTTATTTATTAGTTTATGTTTAGTTTTAGTTATATTAGTAACAATGTTGAAATAAAATCATCTGAACTATCTGAAATAAAATAGGTTAATGTTTTATTTCCAATTGAACTTTTAGTTATATTTTAATCAATATTATTTACCTTTCATACACACACACACACACACACACACAGGTTTGTTTTTATGGTTTATGGGGACTCTCCATAGGCGTAATGGTTTTTATACTGTTCAAACCGTATTTTCTATTGCCCTACACCTACCCTACCCCTAAACCTACCTCTCACAGGAAACTTTGTGCATTTTTAGATTTTCAAAAAACTTAATTCTGAATGATTTATAAGCCTTTTAAATTACGGGGACACTCAAAATGTCCTCATAAATCACCTTCTCGTTGTAATACCTATGTCATACCCATGTTATTATACAAATTTGTGTACTCATAAACCACATAAACACACACACACACACACACACACACACATATAGTAGTATTATTATAACACTATTATACTAATATATTAAACACATAATACTAATATTCCCTATAATGGCCCACAAATGTTCATTTCATGTTGTCTTCAAGGTACCCATATACTATATAATTTATGAGAAGTGTGTGTGTGTGTGTGTGTGTGTGTGTGTGTGTGTATGTGTGTGTGCGTCTCCCAGGTGTGACTAAAGACACGCTGCAGGTGCATGAAAGGCCATGTTGAAATCGTTCTGATGTCTATGTGTAGTTGCCTCAATAGTGCTAAACGACCAAATAAAAGTGTCTGCGGTCTGTAATGAACTACATTAGCATAAGCCAAGAGAGACTGCAGCAGTATAATCTTTTCTATGCAGAGAGAGGCTTGAAACGATCTTTAAAAAAAGACTAATGCTGCTCTAATGTGGACAGATTGATGCTACCATCTTGTGGCCACAGATACCGCTACAGTTCCCTTCAGTGAAGACAACTGAGAAATGCATTACACCGACTGCATAGAAATGTACACGGAGGACATGCAAGTTTGAATATGTATGCAAACATGGCATGCAAGTCAGTGCTAAGCCTGTGCCAGTTTTTCATGGTGCGCTGCCAACACAAACAGACTCGTGCAAATGTTTTAGAAAAGAACAGATGCTGGTTATTAAATTCTGTTGGCAACTCATAACTTTGGAAAGTTTAAGTTCATCTATTTAATTTACTATGCACGTCAAACACACACAGTGTCATCGTTTACAACTACACAAAAAAGAAAATCACACAATATTTGGATGCTTGTTGATTAACATACATACATTAACAATAAAATTATATATTAAAATTTTAAATATTATTTTAAATACTATCTATAGAGAGAAAGAATATAGAATTGTTAATATATGAAATAGAATAATAATAATTAATGACAAGTCCAAACTGAATAATTTTAATTTATATATGCTAAAATTATTAACATTATCATACATTTAAATATAAATATACATATACCTCTGGTATCATTATCTATCTACAAAGAGAGTGAGAGAAAGAATATAGACTTGATAGACTTAATATATGAAATATTAAAACAACATAATAATAATAGTTATCATTATTACTATGAATGAGAATTGAAAAATTTTAAATTTATGTGTATTTATAATTTAAATTTATGTAAAATTATTAAAATTAACATTTACATTTGAATATACATATCTGCTACCATTATTTTGCTAATACAGTTTTATAATGAATTTCTATTTATACTAAAATATTGTATATAAAAAAAAAATATATATATATATTTATAA